TTTCTCCTTTTCTACTGAAAGGCATAACTTTGTCAGATACCAAAGTGATATATATGTGTAGGTCTCTTTCTGAGCTCTCTATTCCATTGATCATGCTACATCTATTTCAATGCCAGTACCACAGTTTCTTAAATCCTACACATCAATAATAAGCCCCTCTTCCTGAGTTTGTGCCTCAAAAGTGTCTTGGTAATTCATCCTATCAAAGGACACAAAAAATTCTGTTGCAGTTTTGATTGATTTCATTGAATCTTTATAATTCTGGTTTTAGAGGGCTTAAATTCTTTTGTTAGATTTATTCCTAGTCATAAATATGACATTCTCTGGCTCCAGTGTAAATGTCTTAGTTATGTTTCTAGATGGCTGCTATGACACAAAACTGCAAATGAATGCTGTATATTAATCTTATTTTCAATTACTTTCCTGAACTATTATTTCTATATCTGTAGTTTGGGGGGTTTTTATGCCAAAAATCGTATTTTTTATAAATAAATTTTATATCTTTTTTCCAAGTCTTTTATTTCTATAATTTATTTTTGTCATACTGTGCTTATACAACTTTTAAGAAAATACTGACTATAAGTGCTGCTACTGAACCTCTTTCTCTGGTTTTGTTTTTGTTTTAAACAAGCAAAGACTTTATATTTGTTTTAAACTGTATTTTTCTTTGGCTTTTCTGGCTTAATTAACATCAAATAAAAAAACTGAGTAGAAACAATAATTACAAAGAGGCAGTGTCCTAGAGATTTAAAATTTTAAATATTGCAGATCTGTACTTCATCACATCCTAACCAAAAGTTTAAATGCAGTGAAAATTTATAAAACTTTTTAAAGAAGTTGAATCAATTCATTTTGTTTCATTGTTAGAAGCCTCATCAAAATTCTGAATGAGATCACCATTCACCCCGTAGAAAGTGGTGCTTTTCCATCCAGCTTCTGCCAATGTCCTGAAGCCTGTCAGTACCAAGCTGGTTTAAAATCCTCGGTGACTTGTCAGGTGCTTTGTCTCAGTGTGGCTGGGAATGGTCTGTTTGTTGCCAGAGATGTCTGAATACTGGGATTATTAAAGTGCATCAATTCCATGTTCTGCAAACATTATTACATCTTTAATATCAGTGATACTGCTCGTTCCATTTTTTAAAATTTATTTTATAGCCCATATTGTACATAATGTTTACATTCCTTATGGGGAGTTGGTACAAGTACATAACACATCTTAATTCCTTTCTTTCATCTCCTTCCCTTCCATTCCTAATTTTGTAAAGGAGAATTGGAAATTTTTATTATGTTGTAACAGAGACTGTTGCTTATATCATCTAAGAGTAGTTCTTTTTTACCAATGCACAACTGTGTCTGACATTTGGCAAATTTTTCTTAGTTTATGATGGATTCTTTTATTCTGTTGGAAATGGGGATTCATGGGAAGCTAGAGTTGGCATTAAAAAAGTCTCAGGCAAACTAGCTGAGGGTATAGTTTCTGTATTTAAAGGGAAAGCTTCTAACATTCAAATATTGAGGAAAAACATTTTTTTTTTTTTTGGTAGATAAAATAGGTTCCCTCCTGTTCCTAATTTAGTAATCTTAAAAGAAAACATGAATAGGTACTGAATTTTATCAAGTTGTCTATTGAGGTTATTCTCTTTTAACATAGTAATATTTAGTTACATATATGGACTTTCTACTATGAAACTATGCTAGCACACCTACAATAAGTTCAATTTCAATCTGTTTTATACACAATTAAATTGGACTTGCTAGTATTTTGTTGAGAGTTCTTATGTGCACTGTATTTGTATTTGAATGAAATTAACCTGTAATTTCTTCCATAAAGTTTTTGGTGCTCCTACTGATCTTAAAGAGTAAAAGGGAATTCCTATCAGTTTGGCTTTAATGAACAAGTTGAAGAATTTCAGAACTGGCTACTTCTAACTTACCCTCATTCTTAAATTTAAAAATATAGATTTTTATGTCTCATAAAAGATTTTGACCCTTTAGTCAATACCTCAAATGGTTTGAACAAGATGACCTATTGACATGCTTTCAAAAATACCCCCCTATCAGAGAGAACTCCTGGCTTCCATCTGTTCTCACAGCAATCTAGAGGCAAAATTGTGACAGGCTCCAGGGTACAAGAATCTCCACCTTTTGCGGGGGGTGGGTATGAACCCTATAATCCAATGCTTTTACATCTTGACCAAGCACTAAACATACAATATGGCCATTAACTTTTGCTGTTTAGGACGAGACAGCAAAACTAGCACTAATTTATTTTTTTTGATCATTTCATAGGTAGAAGATCTGTTTTTACTGTAGATCTTAGCACCTCAGCATAGGATTATTTTGCTGTTGCTTTTTTAGAGATCTTAAAGGAATCACTTTACAGATTCCAAACTGGCCTATATAAATTGCCACCCTCATTCCTCTAATGCTTTGGGGCCAGCCATTATTAAGTAAAACAGGAGTTAAACACAAGCACTATGATACTATGGTATTCAGTTGGTGACTGAGACAGCTACTAAGTGACTCATGGGCAAGTAGCGTATAGAGGGTGAAGTGGGTACGCTGGACAAAGGGATGATCCTGTGCGGAATTGAGCAGGATGGCACAAAATCACACTACTGAGAATAGTGGATTATTGTGGGAGCCCGGCCGTGGCTCTCTAGGAGTTTGACATTTAAAAGGAAACTTCTTCACCTCTACACTCAAGGCATTGATACAATCTGTAACATTCTAGGACTCTGCTTGTTAAACTTGTTGCTGCAAGGGAAGAAACTCAAAGAGACAGCCATAGATCTGATGTTATCAGTAAGAGTCAGGAAATTCGGTCTTTGAAAAACAATGATTTGGTGTTGTGTGCCCTTAAAAGCTTCCTGTTGCTGTGAACCTATAAAAGGAGCTGTTTCTGTGAAATAAATCAGACTTCTCTTCGTCTCCGCTCAGGCTTGAGTGTTCTTTCCTTTCTCAATCCTCACTCCCCGACTCAGGCATGTTCGTGTTGTGACGGCTGGACCGCCACAGATTATTATAATTTATGAGTTACTGTTTTGGGGAAGTTTCCACTTAATATTTTCAGATTTTGTTTGACCATGAATAACAAACTGCAGAAAGCAAAACTGTGATGAAGGGGGGATTCCTGTACTGTATGATGGAACTTCTAGTGAAAGAACTGAAGATAAATGCTCTTCCTCCCCCACAGTACTTCTGAGCGGGATGTACATGGTTACTTGGTTGCTCAGGACAATCTTGGCATATGCTTACAGTTTCAACAAAATAAGAGCTGTTTATTATATGACTTTTTTCCCCCATGTCAAACCTTTGCCCATGCTCCAAAGGCTAAATGAAAATCAGAATTTGAGAAGGTTTGGGATGGGAAATGTTTATGCTTAAGCCTAGGTTAAATATCCATGTATTCTATGGTATGTGGAATTCACCAGATACAAAATCTACATCAGAATCTAATTTGTTTTGGTTATAAACTTATTACAGCTATGGTGAACTGTAAGAATTCTGGAGTGCGAATTACAGAAGAAAAAATAATTTCTATTATAACATATAGTGAAAATAATAAACCTTTGATTTACTCTTCCAACTATGATCCAAGATAGGTCTCCTACTGTCACTAATAGAAATGTGCCAAATGAGAAATAAAAGCACCCCTGGAGGTAATAGTGGTACATAATGCCTAGTTCTAATGCCATTTTTTCCCTGATTTTTTTCCTTGAAACTAAGTCCTCCACTTTCTTTTTTGTTACTTTTTTTTTGTTTTGGTACTGGGGATTGAAACTGGGACCTTGAGCTTGAGAGGCAGGCAGGAGAGCCACTGAGCTAATCTCGGCCCAGTCCTCCACTTTCATTTCAACCAGAATGTTGCAAACCTATTTATTTTCAGAAGTCCAATTTATATACTAAAATTCATGAATAGGTAGTTTATCCTATCTTCCCAAGAAGAGTTTAAAATAAGCATTCAATGAGTATTATTTCAAAGAATTGTATGGGAAATATAAAAGCTAGGCTTTTAAGCCCGATTTTTTTCTTCCAGAAATATTTTAATAAAAATTGGCCATTTGAAGAAACACCCACTGCATGCCATTAATAAAAGAATCATAACAAAATAGGAAATTTACCATATGTAAACCCTCCTATTAACAATATGAAAATAAAATATACTGGCAGTACCTAAAACATGAAAACTTACCATTTTTTTCTTACATCAAACAATAAATTACTGGAATTAACCTGAATATAAGAAGTATCGATCCAAAAAAATTGATGGATATTTCTTATTTCTATGCTACCCAAGCTTGTAAACCCTTTTCTTTTCTTCCAATACTATGATGATTTCCAATTCTATTTTTTGCAATTCCTTTTTCTTTATAATTCTGTCATATCACTGCTACCCTGTCACCACCATCATAGCAATAACAGCTACTTGCTGTTCATGATAGATGATAGTATCTATTAAAAATTCCCTTGTTCAACAATATATTTTATCTAAAATACAAATCAAATGTGTCCAAATTAAGTGTCCAAGATTTTCTTCAGTGTGTACCCATCCTTCTTTCATTCTTCAATTATCCTATCACATGAATACTAAACTGGAGGAGATCGAAGCCATATTCTCTCAAAGACCCTAAATACAGTGCCTGGCAGATAATAAATGTCAAAATGTTTAAGAGATTAATTATTAAAAGGCTTCACGGTTTTCTGCTACCTAGCTATAATCACTTCTCAGCCTTTTGGCTAAGACCAAGTGTAGTATTTGTTACCTAGCTATAGGCTACATTTCACAAAGAAATGCCCTTATTTTTTCCTTAATGATATAATAAATGTCAATTACTTTAAAAAATTTAAAAATCCATGATAAAGCAAATCAGTTCAGAACAATTAAATCAGACATTTGAATTTCTCTTTAGCAAAACAGTAGCAACTTCTGGTTATATCCAACAGAGTGATTAGAGAAAAAGCAGTATTTTTAACTTTCCCAAAATTTTATTACTAACCTGTTGAGGAGTAATGGTATCTCTATAACTTGGTAAGATTTTTAGGGTGACACTTCCACTAATATTTTTCAGTAATTCTTGTAATTCCTTTGGATTGTTTCCAACCTCATGGCCATTGACTTCTTTAATGATATCACCAACGTGAAGTAGACCTTGTCGGTCTATCATTCCTCCATGAAGGATTCGGGCGATTACCAGATCATTATTTTCAACCCTAAATGTTACACCCTACAGGAAACAATATAATTATTACCTATTTTATTAAGAAGAAACATATAAGTATTTATGAATATATATTAAAATATTCTAAAACTAGGTAAGGGGATTGTTCTTACTTTTCCCATGTTTTTTTCCTATCTTAATATTTCAATTACATTAAATTATGTGCAACTGTGACAACATATACCACTCCATCAAAATTGGCTTTCATACTAAGGTTAACCCTAAAAATGAAAAATTCTAGTATCTGGTCCATACCCCACAGGATAAAAGGAAGCTCAAGAAACCAAGTACAGGTATTTGTTAATTTTGATGGACATTTTTCTAGCTTTTACTTTTCTTAGGATCCACAAATATGTAACTTTAGCACAAGACAGCAACCATCACTACTTCTAGGGCCCTACCACAACTTCAGTTTTCATATAATTTTCTTCTATGTTTTGATATCACTATTAGCAAGCAATGTGAAAATTTGAATTTGAAATTTAGTTTTTCAAAAGACTAGAAGAAATGGAATAATTATCTTTTTTGTTTTCGCTATCCATTGGTATACTTCTAGCTTCTAATTCAGTTTCAATTTTCATTTTGATTGTGTTTCATAGAATAAATTAAGTCAATAGAACATCAGTGTGTATTTAAATATGGTCAAAAGACTGATAAACCACACATGAATGCAGTGTTCACTCTAACACAGTACGAAAAAGAAAAATCATCAGACTAGTGACTAAACCACGAGTGATGTTACATTTTAGATATAAGAAGAAGCACTGATTTATCTACTTACCAATGGCTCCCCAGCTCTTTTGTGAATACCAAGAATACGAATGGCATCTACTGGTAATAACTGATTATTGATAGAAGAATTATTCATTTCTGGGCTTGATGGAGGTGAGTCATAACACTTTGATGCCACAATATCATGGGCTTCCAAGAGTGACTAGAAGTCAAAACACCATGTGGTTATTAGTTACTGATGGAATAAGTTACTAAAAATAATTTGTTAGTTCATTATCTCAGCAGAGAGCTAAAAATTTCCAACTCACATATGATTAAATTCCCAAACATGAATCAAATCATAGAATACTTTTAAAAACCACGAAAATACAGGTTTTACTTATTATCATCAAGTAATATTCTTCTTTTAGATCTGAAGAGATAGAATTCAGTTACATTTTTTTTTAATGTGGCAAGCTCACCAGAAACCCAACTTGGGTTTCCATGTCTGGAGCAGAGAAGACATTGAATTCCACTACTATTAATGTCATACATCATTCAATATTTATCATTAATTTCATTTATGAGGTAGGAAAATTTGACAGGAGCCAAATTTTTACCCTTCTATTGCTAAATTAGTAATGATACCCTTTTGACATGCATAAAATATCGCTTAAGATGCCCGATAGAAAATAAATATTAGCATCTTATATCAATGATAGAAAATTTTATTATCACCAATAAAAATTTTAGTATATGTAAGACATTACTGATAGGAAAAAAATGAATCAGTAATAATCCTGAATATAGGGGCCGGGGATTTGGCTCAGTGGTTCCGCCACCTGCCTCACAAGCGCAAGGACCAGTGTTTGATCCGCGGTATCAAAAAATAAAATAAAATAAAAAAAGTCAAGAGTCAAGCGGCAAACCTGCAATTGAAGCTCCAAAGGTAACCACCTTCAAAAATTTTAAAAGAAAAAAAAATCCTGGATATAATACATTTTTAAACTTCTATATTTACTATGTATGTCCTATCATCACAGATGATTTTATCTAGCTTTCTAGGGATTTCTTAGCTTTTACTGTGTTAATAAAAAATTTTTATTCCTTGTTCTAAAGGAATAAGTTGCACTATAATTATACATACTCAGCATAAAGCTATGTATAAAGAAATTTGAGTGAATACAATATAAGCTAAAAAAAAAACCCTAGAAAATCAAAATATATGAAGAGGGGAAAATAAACAGAATGTTCAAAACAAGAAGTACCGGAATCCTGGCTTAAATGGCAATTCTTAGTAAATCTATGAAAACACTTAAAAGAAACTGGAGAAAAAATTCACAAATATAAAAAGACACTCATAAATCCCTATTTAAGGAGTCTTCAAAGTTATTCAAAGCTGGAAATTATTCAAAGCTCCAACCAGAGCTGCTTGGTTTTTTTAGCTAATACTTTTGTCTCAGGAAGTACTTTTTATTCCTTCTGAACCACTACATAAGTGTTATTAACTTCCAATTTTACTACTCTGGTTCAGAACTCTCATGAGCTTCAGATTCATATACTAAAACTGCCCACAACTAGCTAAAACCATGACAGTTTGAAAACCAAGGGCAATTGTAGAGAATGAAACAATGAACTAATGAAAATTTCTCAAATCTATATTTCTACTTAAAACACAGAAGAGCCGAAAAATTCATTTATTACAATTTTCCTTTTTTTGGTACTCTGGATTGAATCCAGGGCCTTCTCTCACTTGCTGTATCTCCAGACCCTTTTATGTTTTATTTTGAAACAAGATCTTGCCAAGACAATAAGTTGTCAAGCCTGGGAATAAATTTGGCAGTCCTCCTACTTCAGTTTCTTAGAGTGCAAAGATTAATGGTGTACACCACTACACTTAGTATTTAAACAACTTTTTACTTTTAAAATTGGTAAAGAGAAGCATTTCCCTGCTTTTTCAGTAGGAAATTCTTTACAAAATAACAGGCTAGCTAATCAGAAGCTCTACATTTAAGAGGAACATTAACTAATAAATGTAGTATGAGAAAATTGGGAAAACGTCATTTTGTAACCTCTAATGAAAAATACTGACTTAGGTAAGGATTATTAATTTGTATTCATCAAAAGGTAAATGATTCATAAGTAATAGCATTTAAATAATGTCAGAATAACAACAACTAGATTATTTCTTAGTAAAGATTATTGCCTAGAAAAGTTCAAAGAAAAGCCTAGACTGTCATCACCCTTAATCAAGGGACTATCTCTACATAAACAGTGGTAGAGCAACCAGGTAGTATAAACTTTCTGAAGTAGTCTAACGTATGCTGCATCACATCATTTAAGATGCATTCTAGGGCTGGGGATTTAGCTCAGTGGTTTGGCGCCTGCCTTGCAAGCACAAGGACCCGAGTTCGATCCCCGGTACCAAAAAAAGAAGAGGAAGAAGAAAAAAAAGATGCATTCTAGTCCCAAATAATGAACTTGAATCATCAACCTTTTAGCTAGAACTTCTGTTTACAGGAAACAGGAGAGATAACACAGCACAACCAGACAAATCCACAAAATAGGACTGGACAATGGGCTGGTATCTTCCATAGGCCAACATCATAATAAAGGGGGAGGGTAGTCTTTCCAGGGCAGTCAAACGGCACACACAGACCTGGGACGGAAAATCATTAACAATAACTCAGTACCTCTAAGGTTTCCACTTTTCTGCTGGATAAAATCTGAATAATGTAGTATACCTTATAAAGATTCAATCAACTGACTCTCAAAGAAAAAGTGTTTCTGACATGTAAACACGTTTTTGTACACAAGACACTAACTTATGTAGGAAACACCATTAATCTTTACATTTTGCACTAACATTTTTTGGAGACACATACTTGCATGAGAAAAAGCAGAGGGGTATTACCGTTTGATTTTCATTGCTAACATTTGTAGTGGAAAAGAAGTGACGCTTTAGAATAGTATGCTTCTATCCCAGCAACATTCATTCCCATTAAAATGCAAGTTTTCCATAAAATCAGTTGTATTTCTGAGATTTCTATTCTCTTCAATTAATTTATTTCCTTAACACTCCCCAGTATCATATTATCTTAATTGTTACAGGTTAAAAAGAAAATTTTCTATCCTTCCTCTGAAATGGATTTCTCTTTATGAAATTAACTCAATGCCTAAACTGTACTAATTTCAATCCAGTATCCATGAAACATAGCATGTTATGTAAGTTTCCATCCTTACACAGCTCTTCTGTCCCACAGTCTTTGCAGCACCCCAAATGAGAAGCACTGCTAAAGAATATTCTTTATGGGGCCCAAGGAAGACTGGGAGCAGAGTGGTAGTGAAGAAAGAAATCTATTTTTGTAGTGAGAAAATGTTGCTATTGTGTGCTCTGACAGTGCATCAAGGTTGTTGTTTTAATTTCACAAAGGAAAATCCATGGTGATGTATTTCTGTAATATATGCATATATACAGTAGGTATAGTTAGGTACAACTGCTTATATATCTTGAGCTTATCAGGACATGAAAATACCTGAGTTGGAAGTTACATACTTATAAGCCAGTGGTGACAAACCTATGGCATGCATGTTATTTTGTTTTTCTTTTTTTCTGTTTATTTTTTTGAAACAGTTTCTTGCTATATATATAGCTCAGGCTGGCCTTGAACTCACATACTCCAGGCAGGCCTTGAACTCATGGCCATCCTCCTGCTTCACTAGTGCTGGGACTATAGGCATACAACACCATCCCGGCTGTTTTGTTTTTAAGACAAAAGATGATAATGTGTAAGTTGCTTTTTCTAAACTAAAACTTCAGTTTACAGGTTTAACTGCAGTGTTGACACTCGATCTCTAAAAGGTTCACCATGACTGTTATAAACTATAGTCAAGTAATTTTCAAAAGAAAAATCACCTTCAACTTGACTGTAACTACTAAATGAGAATACTGTGAAACAGGGAACTTGGGCAGAAGAGCAACAGGAAAGTTACCTGGAAGTGAGGTTCTTTGAGTATACCAACAAGTTCTGCTGCATTTTCATCCACATTTATTAGAGGAGTGATATCTTCAAGAATTTCATTGACTAATTCCAAGTTATTGTCACTGACAGCTTCTAATTTTGAATCTTCAAGCCTCTCATGAGCCTGAAAGGACAACAGTGTATTAAAGTAGTTGTAATTATTTATTTTAGTTCAGCCAGTTTATTCATTTATTTCTTCTTCATAATCTTAAAAGATATTACTTGGAGGTATGAGTCACTTAAACTAGATATTTCAGCTCAAGAAAATATATGAAGTTTATAGCAAATATATCATGCAATGTAATAAACTTCGGCTTCTATTTCCATCCTACAAGTCATAAAAAGTTCATTTATAACTATCCCTGAAAAAAACTGAACAGCCCAAATGCTGTTTCTACAATTCTATTTCTACCAAAAGGATTTCCTAAAGACCTTCTAGTTGAAGCTTGAACTCTAGATGCTAATGTTTATATTTAAATGATTAAACATAACAAAAGGAAAGAGTAGTAATATAATTATATAGTAACATAAATTACATGTTAGCATTTACAAAAATGATAAAAACATTTTGGAAATTCCAGAATCCAAAATCTACTACTGTTAAATTTTGGAGATCACAGAATGTAACACAGTGGTAGGGTGCTTGCCTAGCATCCACAAGACTCTGGCTTTGATCCCTATCACTGCCAAAAAGTAAAAAAAAATCAATACAAAAGTCATGTTAGAGCAGGCACTACTTGATCTCTACTCTGACAGATCTCATGGTTTAATTAAAGGAATGAACCTTCCTGAAATATCACAGTCTTTTCCACAGAAAATATACCATGTCACAGTAAGTAAGTAAACTCAATTATCTTCTCTCTCATACATGAATAAAGCAGTTTTAAATTCAAACTGAAAATGGACATTAAAGATTCCATTTTTAAGTAATATTTGCTTTCTGATAAATGCTGAAGACAGAAAAAGGACAACTATTAAGATTTCATAAATTTAGTCAAGTGGTAAGAGTATTAACTAAATTTTAACAGATTTCTGTAATAATTTACATATTATATTTACCACCAAACAGAGCAGATCCTTTAGAATCCAAGTACAACATTCTAACTTTTAACAAGACTATCTTTTGTATGAATGTATTTTTATCAAGGTGATTCACAAGAGTAAAAAAATATATATATATATGTATATTTTTATTATTTTATTATTTATTTATATTAATAAATATATTTCATTATTTTATTATATATTGTATATATGTATATATACATATACACACACATATATATATTTTTAAATACAGGGTCTTATTCTGTCGCTCAGGCTGGACTCAAGCTCACAATTGGGACTCAGCCTCCTGCGTAAGTGAGATTACAGGCATTCAAAATACTCAATACTCTTATGGTAATACATGAAGAAAATTTTCTAAAAACATAAGAAAGAACCTTAATATTTATTGAGGGCTTTCTTTTTCTGGTGCCAATGTACCTGCTGCATACTCTCTGTGTATGTGCATGTATGTATGTATGTATATTCAGAAAGGAAGATATGTTTATCATCTTTACAGATGAAGGCACTGATATAAAAAGGTAAAGGGATTGCTTGAGTTCATGCTGCTGATTAATGGCAGAGACAGGACAGTTAATATCAAGACAAGCTCTTATCTACTAAAACATATCTGATTATCACTACACAGAGCATCACCCTAAAATCATCTTGCAGTTAATAATTTAATCCAATATATAATGATTATTCTTATTTAGAAGTGTGAGATATACTTTCACTGACTGATAGTTAATAATTTAATTCAATATATAATGATTATTCTTATTTAGAAGTGTGAGATATACTTTCACTGACTGATAGCTTGTTATTTAGTACAACTCTTCCAGAGAAGGTCTGTGAAATTATTTTTGCTATTTCACATTCTACCCACAGTTATTTGATATTCTTATAGTTCAGAAAATCTTTTCTGATGTTCACTCCTTTGGCTCCAAGAAAGAGCTATACAGAATATGTTTTTTTAGGAAACAGATTATGCAGACTATGACTGGCTTATTACTTTCAGACACCTTGTCAACATATTTTCTTTATTATCCTGTTATATAATCAGCATATAGTAACTCTACTCTGACACTGGAAAACTTGGTTCATTTCAGGGATAAATGGGACAGAAATGGCTGGCAACTTGATCACTGTATTTTTCTCCTCATCTACCTAATACAAATTGGATGAAGATAAATGGGAATGTGAAAAAGACAATGGTAAGAGAAAAAGGAGTCAAATGGGAGAGCAAATCTATGTTAGAATATAATCCAAGCATACCTGAAATTTTTTCATGTCAACCTCAGTGACTGGTTTCATGGAAAGAAAGACTCTCAGTAGACGATACACAAATTCTCAGGGAAAAAAGTTTTTTGGTGTGAAATCATAACTATAACAATATTAACATGGAAAACTAATTTCTGAAATATATTTGTGTTAAGATCAATTTTACTTTTTCCAAGAAAGTAAACATTACTAATACGTTGTGAAAAAACTTGTGCCCTCATTCATTTAAAGTCAGAATTTGTTTACTGGCTTTCAAGGGGAAAAGTACCAAACTGAATTTAACTAATCAAACCAAGAAAGCAAAGGAAACAGCTGGGCATGATGACACATGCCTGTATTCCCAGCACTCTGGGAGGCTGAGGCAGGAGGACCTCAAGTTTGAGCCCAGCTCAGGAAACTTTGCAAGACTTTGTCTCAAAAATAAAATAAGAAATAAAAGGGCTGTGAATGTAGCTTGGTCAGAAGGGCCTGGGGGTTGAATCCCCAGGGCTACCAAGAACAAAAACAGTAACAAAGGAAACACAAAAAACTAATGGTGGGGCAGATAGGACACACAGTATTTGAATAAATGGGTCTTGTTTCATTTAAGAAAAAGAATTACTAGAAAGATAGCATAACTCAAAAATATTTTACTTGGGGTTGGGGATTAGCTCAATGGCACCATGCCTCCCTTGCAAGCTCAAGATCCTGTGTTCAATCCCTGGTACAGGGGGGAAAAATGTTTGACTTATAAATGGCTAGGAAGAACATGCTATGACTGACACTGCAGAATTATTGAGCCTGATAAAAATATGACCTAGACTTCTGTGTGTCCAGTTTTGAGAATCGTATTCACCGCTGCACCTTAGAAAAATGAACTGCAATGAAAAAGTTTGAAAACCTTTTCCTATTTCACTCAAACACAATCCAAGCATGCTTGCAAACAAGTAAGTTTTTAAACAAAAGTTTTGGGCTATATCTAAAGTGACAAATATATTTTCTAATAGTAATGGTAGTATTAAGTGTAACCATGTATTTACCCATTAAAAACAAGGATGGTATATTTTGTTTCAATCTTCTTAGAACAGAACTATGTAATCACTGCTCACTAAGTATTCTTGAAAAAGCTAAGTAAATGGGAAACAAGTTTAGTTGTGGTCAAGAGTCACTGTTTTCTTTTTTCTAGAGAACTAAAATATACTACACATCAGACAAGTCCACAAAAATTCAAAAATAAATAAGAATTTGAGAAGAAATGATACAGAATGGAGAACTCAATTTCTACATTGCTTCTAGTATACGATTTTCCAAAAAAAATAAGCTTAGGGAAAAAATACTGACAAAGTATAACTAAATTACAATGGACTCTCTAATGGGTAAAGAATTTTTTTTAACAAATGATCTAGTTATCCATCTGGCAAATTCTTAAATATTGAGGTTCTCAGAAAGCATCTAAATAACACTGCTGAGCTACACTTAGAGGTATCTGTAGAATAGGAATCACACAGACACAAAAAAAAGAAATACCTATAGAAGGTTGACTAAAACCTGGGGTATGACCATACAATGGAATTTTGTATTAACTTTACCAAGAGTAAAGATGCTCTAGCTACTAGTATAGAAATTTACTCCAAAAAACAAGATCTAGAACAGACAGTATAAACTCATAACTTATTAAGTGAGGAGTAGATACTTTTCCCATCAGTTCAATATTTATTCTATAGTTTTCAGCCAGGGCAATTAGGCAAGGATCAAAGAGGCACCTGTATTGAAAAGTGGTAAAGATATTTTTAGTCAAGGATGATATGATCTTATGTTTAGAAAATCCTAAGGACTTTCCATTGATAGCATGTAGAAATGTAATTTTTGTAAATCTTATACCCTGCAACCTTGATGAGCTTGTTTATTGGTTCTAGTAGTATCTGAATGGATTCCTTAGGATTTTGTTTTATAAATTATGCTACAATGTGAAATGGTACAAAGTAAAGTTTGAAAATAAAATTAAGATAATTCCATTTGCAAAAGCATCAAAAAGAATAAAAAATTCTGGAGTAAATTTAACAAAAAAATCCAAAATTTATACTCTGTAATCTCAGCTGCTCAGGAAGCAGAAGGAGGACGCTCCCACATTTAAGTCCAGCCTGGGCAAATGAATGAGATCCTGTCCCCAAATAAATGTTTTTGTTTTTTTTTCCAAATTATAAAAAGGTAGGGAGGGATTGTAGACCAACACTACAGCACTTGCCTACCATGCAGGAGGCCTTGGGTTCAATCCCCACTATCACAAGCAAAAAAGTTAGAATTGATATGATAAGGAAAAAGGGGGAAAAAAAAAAAAGCCAAGCATGATGGCACATACCTATAATCCCAGCTTACTCTGGGAGGCTGAGGCAAGAGAATCACTAAAATTAAAAAGGGCTTGGGCTGTATATCTCAGTATGAAGGCCAGGTTGGGGCAGGGGAAAGGTAAAAAGAAGGAAATCATACAAAATGCTCAGTTAAAACTGAAAAGGTAAAAAAATGGAAATCAAAGAAAGATCAAGGACAACAAATAGAAAACAGAAGCGACATGGTAGATATTTATAAAATAATATCAATAAACACTTTAAAAAGCAATGTTCTAAACACACTAATTAGGAGTAATGTCAGAATGGATATGAAAACAAGATCCAAGGGACTGAGGATGTAGCTCAGTGACACAGCACTGCACAGCACCTGCCTGGCAAGCATGAGGTCCTGGGTTGGATCCCTGGTACCAAAAAAAAGAAAACAAGATCCAAGTATATGTTGTCTGCAAGATACCCATTTAAAACATAA